GTGGCGGTCAATGTGGATATTGTGGATGAGTTCTTCTGTGTCATCATGTTCTATTAGTTCTACAGCTTCAGTTTCTGAACTTTCACGCTTAGTAACACATACAGCTGTTCCCTCACCACAGTGAAACAGTGAAAAGGGACTTTCAACAGTGTTGCGTTCCGAACGTTGTTTAAGCGACATACACCGGTATTGCGGTATTTAAAAAATTCATATCATAACAAAAATAAACACCGGTATTCGGTATGAACCGGTATCCCGCCCAGCACTAACATATGCCCAAACGAACCGAGCTAAGGGGGGAAACGCGTCAGGTTCCGAAACAACAGGCCAGGTGTGAAAGCACCCTAAAACAAAAATCTCACAGTAAACAGCATTTTACATCATTCATTCAATGCTTTTTGGATTGCAACAGTCAGAGGACTTGGACTGCAAGGCTATCTGCACATCAGCAAAGTATGCATAATTAACATTGCTTTGCATAATTAACTGCCATGCTATCAGGTAATTAATAGACAGTAATAAAGGCCACAGAGTCTGAAGCTTCCTGTAGTGATAACAGGAGCCCAGAGCTGTGACTAAATAACTTTCCATAGCGAGATTAGAGAGACAAAGAACTGAAGGTCATGGAAAATGGCAAGTCACCATTTCTGCATTGCTTGAATAAATATTATTTCACAAAATGCCTTTTCTTCCTTCTCAGATACAAAAAGAGAACCGAACTGTGGAGAATACAGCAAACTCTTACTGTGGTACTTTGATGGTGGAAAAATATTCTGGGTGGGAGGAAAAAATATTTTTCACATTTTTTCCTTTCTCTCGCAAAGATATTTTCGATCTCTCGCAAAACCAGTTGAGTTCGGACAAACTCTTCCTTTACTTTACAGCTTGTAGTGGTTCATACAGCTACATACGTTCACAATGTAGCAGTTCATAGAGTTTTATTTTGAACTTGGACTCAAGTATAAAGAAATAAAGTCAGTGCTTATAGTTCAAGACACGTAATGCGCAATGTGGCTTAATATACTAAAACAGTGACATTGGAGGCCCAAATTTGGTATTGATAAATACTATATACTATAATATATTAATAACCTTATTAATAATATTACTATTAATAAAGCAGAATAGCCATGAACGCAACGCACTAATGCACGTTAAGCTTTTTCTCCCCCATAGAAAACAGTTACAGAAAACGCTTAAGGTAGGCTAATGGACAAAGACGGTAAAAAAATAAGACAAAATCTGGTACACAATTTATTAATAATATATATATTATGCACAGGAAAGCAGACGAGCCCAGAATATGAATGGAATACGTAAAGTTTCACGTATTTTCTCCCCTGTAGAAAAACATTATAAACTCTTAACGTGGCTTAATGGATTACCGCATTGTTTTCCTGTACATAGTATAAATTAAATATAAAATTTGGGCTTTTTATATCACTGTCTTCTAGGGGTTGCACCGAATCTAGTCAACTTCAATGCTCTGCCATGACGCTTTAAGCTTGACATCGACTAGTCGCTGGTCCTATAGAGGGCGCAACAGGATAAGAAATCTTTGAAGGACTTCCACATTTACGCTTTGTTTCCAAACAGTTAAAATGACAAATAAATGCATACTCTGAAAGCGCACCACAAGACACGTGTGATTATATTACTGGATGCTCGAAATTGAACGAGAGAATGCACAATTTAAACAGCTTATTGTACAGGTAAGTTAATTGCTGTTCTAATCTAATGTGCTGCTGCACTGTAATGCACACACATTACAGACAGTAGCTCGTACATCACGCACAGATAGCGCGCACACAGAATCATTTAGCGCGTAAATGTATTGTCATTCACGGTATTTAGAAGTGCCTACGATAACAATATCGTGCATATTCATTACCGTGATATATCGCATTACCGAATACCGGCACAAGTCTAATGCCGACTCGACTTTCATCACATAAAAGTCGACTTTAAAAAATCAGAAGTCATTCAACCCCTACCGTCTTCTTATATTAAGGCACGTTAATCACAGTTTTCTATGGGGAAGATAAAATAAAACTATGAAACGCTACATTGTGGACGTACGGAGCTGTATGAACCACTGCAAGCTGTAAAGTAAACAGGACGTGTTTGATCGAACTCAACTGGTTTTGCGAGAGAACACAAATGGTCTTTGCGAGAACCAAAAAGTTTTGCGAGGAAACGTAAATATCTTTGCGAGAGAACGCAAACATTTGCGAGGGAACGCAAATATCTTTGCGAGAGAATGCAAAGTTTCTTGAGGGAACGCAAAAGTTCTGCGAGAGAATGCAAAAAATTTGAAAAATATTTTTTCCTCCAACCCAAATTTTTTCCCCAATTTTTTTTTTAAATGGATTGTTAACTGTGTAAACTTCAACTTTATCTTCATTAACAGAAATAAAGCTGAAAAAATAAAATAAAATATGCATTACACATAGAAATGCTGCCTTAGCCAATAACTGAAATAAAAATAATAAAAAACAATAAACAAAAAACAACAAAAAAAAATAAACAATTGATAAAACTAAAATGAAAATTAAATAATAAAAAATAAATAATAATAATAATTATATAGTTATATATAATTCTAAATTATCGCACCTCAGAATTCAGTCAGTCTCACAAACTGTGACATTCATATTTATTCTATACATCACTAAAACACCATTTTCCTATAATAAAAGCCTGACTGAATAGAATCCAACTTGCTGCAATGGATACAAACAATCCTTTCAAAAGCTTCCTTGCCTCAAACACACAGTGTGGGGTCAACAGAATGACCTTACTATTGTGATACACAGTAGAAAAGAGAACAGCTCAATATGCAACAGTTCAGGACTCACGGATCAGCCATATCTCAAAGAGACAAGCAGAGTCCGGTCCACAAAACAAAGCATCATCTGTTTCTAATAGGGAAAACAACCTCAGCAATGAACTGCCCTGACATGCTGAGAACATTGAGCTCAGTGTGGGGAATGACCCCCCGCTGTGACCGTGACAGGGTCTCAGACAGCAGAGGAAAAAAGGCCGAAAGCGACACGTGTATGTACACATGCACACGCAACCACTGCAGACAAATGGATTTCATGGAGACTGTTATACACAAGCCGAGGCACCTCCTCCTAAACCCAATCAGAGCAATCAGAGGTAACCCAGACTCTCACTCTCATAAACAACATGCATACCAAACAAAACCCCTGTGAGCGGGCCCCGTTTGCTAAATTACAATTAATTGAGCACAATAGGCTGAGTCTGGCTCCAAATGTGACCTCACTAACTGGGCAGAGAACAGAACACAATTACGTTCTGCAGAGCTCACTAGCACTAAACAAAAACAGTGAAAGACCATTTACTAATTAGACTGTTTTTAACATATTTAAATAGTGTCTAACATAGAATAAAAGCACAAAGTGCAGCATCAGCGATCTTACAGTAAAGCAACAAGCCATGTGCGTTACAGTGTTTTTAACAGGGACATGGGATGAGGTTACTGTGGTACAAAATCACTGATGAAAATCCTGGAACGTGATAACTAATATGATAACTAATCATTTTGAAATAACAGTAATGTGTCACCAAAATACTACTATAAAAACAATAATAAAAATAATAACAATAACATTTCTAGAAACGATTAAAATGGTTAACCAAATAATAATAATTGCATTTTTTTTTTAATTAATAAATTTTTATTTCTTTGAACGTGATTCAACCAAGAATCATTATAAATGACAACAATAATACTTTTTTGTTATTATCATTATTGTTATAATATTAATTTATATATTTGTTTAATCATTTTAATGGTTTAGAAATGTGGCACTTATTTTTTATTTAATTAACTCTTATACTTTTAATTTTAATAAACTTTTATTTTACAGCGTTGAACATGATTCACCCTAAAATCTTTAGAACTAGCCTATAATTATTCAATACACTGTAAGAAGGATGATTCTGCAGAATATTCTGAAGTAGTTCCAAAATGATTCTTCAGAAGAATCCAGTTCACACAATTCACACGTCATTAAGCTTCGCACGCTGGTGTGAAAACAGCATTCTCACCTGCATCCTGAGAGTTCAGCACCTCCAGGGCATGCATCATGGCACTGGCAAATACATTGGCATCCTCTTTGCTGCCAAAGTTAAGGCCGTACACCTGCCGTGCATCTCGCCACTGGTGAAACGTTTGTGTGGCCTGGTTGTATTTCAGCCCCTTGGGAATGGCACAATTTATTACCACCTGTTGACAGAAGAGAACAGCATATATTCAAATCAATGCTTGAAAATCATATAATTTGAAATGCAAGCCCTAACTAAACTGTATGTGTATGTGAGCGGAGTGGAGTGTCAACAATTTCCCCTCTGCGCTCCGAGCATTTAATAATCACTCCGCTCCGGGTTCACCATTTCCCGCTCCCGCTCCACTCCTCGCTCACTGATATCAGAAACACCGCTCCGCGTCTAAAGTATTTCAGTATGTTTAAAATATCACAGTTCTGTTCATAATGTATATTAAAAAATAAAATAAATAAAATAACAAGAGAGTTTCAAAGTGGCTTATTGGAACACTAGTGTGCAAACTTTTTTCCTACCACATGACAAGCTAATAACATTGTAGTCAGCATTAAAATGTATAATTGCTGCTTTTTGCGGTGCAAATTTGAGATGAAAATAACAGTGGGCCAGTATCTAGAAGGAACAAACTAATTCCTTGAGAACTATAACTTCCCGCTCATATCCATTGCCGTCATCATAGAATTCACATTCTTTCTGATTTGAGTGATCCTTCTCTATCAAGCTAGCTAAATATGTTTAACATGTGAATTCTTGCTAAATATTAGGGGTGCGACGGTTCAACTTACTCACGGTTCGGTTTGTATCACGGTTTTAGAGTCACGGTTTCAGTACAGTTCGGTATGTGCTATGTTTAGGGAAAAAACTATATTGTCAAATAAAAATAAAGAAAATATGAACAAATAATATAACTACAAGCAACAGCACAAATAAATAAACAGTGAAAAAAGATACAAATAAAATAAACAGTGCTTTTTTAGTTTTTTTTTTAGGTAGGTCTAACAGTTTTTAGGTACAGAAATTGAAT